CCATCCATTAAAAATATCGAACATAAATTACCGATTAACATTTGCAGCAAAAAATTAAAAATCGGGGATGTGCCAACCTAATATAAAAATCTATTATTAAAAAAATAGTGGCTAGGTTCTGCTCAATTTAAAACCAGTAAGGAAAGTAGTAAAGTCGAACTGGGCCAACTATATGATACCCTGCACCACTTTGGGTATATTATACATATGTATCCTAACAGACGTCGCCTTTTCGAAGGAACATTGACATGAAATTGAAAGAACTTAATATGCGATCTTTAACTATAAGTAAACCGACTAACATCAATCCCAACTCATGCCATTCTGCAACTTATTCTAAATTTTGTAAATAGATTTAAAAGAAATTTTACAAACGCTATTTGGTATGTTTCACTGTTTAAAATGTAATATCAATCAGGCACCTATTGACAATCAACATGAATTGGTCGAAATTATATGTAAGCTATTCTATATCTAAATCTAACCCATTTTAAGGTAACTTGCAGAGATTAATTTATATTAATTTCAGTACGTTGTGTCAATCGGCCTAGCTATGGGTATTTAGTGCACAATTTACATTAAATCAGACGAAAATATATATGGGAGCTATATCTAAATCTGAACCGATTTTCACGAAACTTAGCACACATCATTGTTGACCAATTCAGTATCCTATGCCAAATTTGTGCAAATCGAAAGATATATAGGGACTTTTGAACTCAATTTGCCTGAAATCGGACGAAAATATATATGGGAGCTATATATAAATCTGAATCTCGAAACTTGGCACACGTCATTCTAGACTCAATTCAGTATCCTATGCCAAATTTCGTGCAAATCGAATGATATATAGGGACTTTGGAGCCTCGTTTACCTTAAATCGGACGAAAATATATATTGGGGCTATATCTATATCTGACCCGATTTTTTTTGGAACTTGACACACCTCATGGTAGAGTCAATTTAGTACACTATGCAAAATTTCGTGCAAATCGAAAGATATATAGGGACTTTGGTGTCCTGTTTAATCGGACGAAAATATATATAGGAGCTATATACAAATCCGAAGCTATATACCGAAAAGAGCCACACGTCATTCTAGGCTCTTTTCGGTAACCCATGCCAAATTTCATGCAAATCGAACTATATATAGGGACTTTGGTGCACCATTTACATTAAATCGGACAAAACTATATATGGGAGCTATATCTAAATCTGAACCAATTATCTTCAATTTCTATAGGGTTCGTCCTTGGGCCAAATAAGTGACTTGTGCCAAATTTCACCCAAATCGGATAAATGCGACCTGTACTCTATTTACAATTTAACATCGACAGACGGGCGGATTGACATTCATAAATCGACTCAGAAAGTGATTCTATGCATATCCTCAAAAGGAACCATGTGTCTACCAAATTGTACTCTTAACGCATTTAGCTTTCGCAACACAATACAGAGTAACCTCCCTGAACTTTTAGTTTCGTATCTCGATGCTAAACATATAAAATACCTAAAATCGGAATGTATGTCTCATTATATGGGGATTATGCCTATGGTGATATGCGGTGATATATCGCATTTGCAATACCAACCATCCTAGAAGTAATAGCAATGCCAGGCCAAAAGTTCAAAGCTCTTTGAGATTTCTATCGTGATATCAATATACATAAAGGGGGCTCCAATGAATATTTCGAGATGTTGCAAATATTCCGCCAACATTACTGAAAATAAAGAACATACATCAGGGACAGTGTCAGCAAAAATTAAAGTTTAGTGATTTGTTTACTAGATTTCTAACAATTTCATTTAAATGTCGAAACGTTTTGTAATTGGAAAAAAGTATCATTGTAACCCATCAAATCTTCAAATAAATCTCTCATTTTTCCCGCCATTGGCAAATTCTATGACACATGATGACTTCTGAAAAATATAAAAGATGCTATTTTTTATAAATGCTGCCAGACCCGCTCCATCTATTCAGTAGCAATTTACCTAAACCCTACCCCAATATCTGTGGTCCTGAATTAGAATATTGGGCACACAGAGGAAGACATTAAAGCAATTTTCGTAGACCTATAAGTTCCATTGTTTTCTATACAATTGACATAGCTCGTCAATCATTTGGAGTATAACAGCAGATAGAATAATTTACTTACCAACTCGACAGTCTACTTTATTCATATTAACAACCTGTATCGATGCTTTTTAGGAAGAAGATTTGCTACTCATCATTATACCCTACACAAGTATGTTGTCTGGGCAGCCCCAAGAGTTTGTAAAGCCTCGAAATATTAGTCATAGACCCACCTTTAAATATACCGATTGTCATATCTCGACAACCTGAGTCAATTTAGACATGTGTGTTCGTCCGTCTGTCTCTTATAATTTGTAAACAGGCCACAGTAATGGACCAATCATCACGAAATTTTGCATGTAGGACCGGTTCTGACCAAAAAAGATCACTTTGGTTATGATTTAGGTAATGAAGCGGTTAATGTTTAGGTGATGAAGCGGTCCAAATACTTTATTTTTGTCTGTTCTGGTCGCTCTAAAGGCCACAATTATTACCCAAATATCACGAAATTTTATAATATTTTCTCCTGAAGGAATATGTGGGAGTTTTTCTTAAATACTTACAGGTGTCTACGTATTCTGATCTTGTTTAGTATTACCATTACCACACATGAGGGGGAAATGTAGCTATGATTCCGGTTATGGCCAAAGGCGAATGCAAATGGCTTAAAACAAAAAAAAAAAACAAAATATTTCTTCCAATGAGCATAAATCTGAAATTGTTTGATCGATACTTTACGAGAAATCTATCAGTACAGCCATCTGTCGAAAAACTAAAGGATTTCTTTTTCTCCAACCTAATATTTTACTCCGAGAAATCATGATTCAGAAAAGATCCCACAGAGGAGTTGTTTACATCTAAACGGTTGATACCCTACACTACTAGAACTGAGCTCTAACTTTCTGTGGATTTATTCCGCGAGATTTGCACTCTCTTGAGTTTGGTATCGAAATTCGTCCCTCAATTAGAAAATTCTGCACAGAACGCCCTGGAAGTGTTTAAAATATTGAGGAATGGCAACTTGAAGAAAATTGCCATTAATACCGAAGATAGTTGAACAGAATAAAAAAGAAGCATCAGTCATTAACGAGTTATTTCAATACACTTTTAAGCAAATAGGAGCTTATATTGTACGTAACCTATACACTGTTGGCCAATACTAAAGAATCAATAATCAGTTTGCAATTTCAGTTGCTTTAGTTTTGGCCATCTCATATGAATCGGACAAACCATGAGAGTTTAGAACATCATTTACAGAAAATACGAAATTATATATTGAAGCATATCCATATCTGAATCGATTTCAATGGACACGCACACATCACTATAGACTCAGTATGGTATGACATTCTAAGTTTCGTCTTCATCGGACAAATATTGGGAATTTAGCCCAACATGAAATAGAATAGAAATATATATATATATATATATATATGATGGGAGCTGTATCTAAATCTAACCCGAATTATACAAAACTTTACATACGTCAATCTGTAATTAATTCAGTACGCGTTGTAACATGGGTGAACTATTGTGAAATCAGACAAAACTATATCGCAATCGGTTTTCTCCAAATAAATGGACTGTGCCAAATTTCATCTAATTCGTATCATAAATGCGAAATGATTGCAATTGAATATGGACAGACATGCATAAACAAAGACATAGAAACCGTAAAGACTCGACAAAATGCATTTTGACAAAATAGTTTATGAAAAAGTATCCAAGGGGGGGAATCAGGCATAACAGAGGTATGTTAGGAATAAAACTGCCAATACGCGATAATGTGTGTAAAGAAACTAAATAAAATCAGAGGTCTGCACTCAAAACATATATTTTCATTTTATAAGCATAAGATATAGCACTAAAAATGTTTAATATTGTTCTCTCTGTTGTTATGATATCGTAACAACAGAGGAAAAGCCATCTGTTGGAAATTGCTTACGTATCGATTGTCCTCTCTTTATACTTTTATGTCTTTGGCATAAATCGACTCAAAAAGTAATTCTCAAAAGGAACCATGAGTCTATCTCGTTTCTTTTTGCGTGTTACAAACATATGCACAAATACATAACACCCTGTACTACCGTGTGTTGAAGGGTATAAAAATAAAAAACGGATCCCAGATTTTTAGTATGTTCTGGAATTTGTTGTTAAACCGAAATTTTAACCTCCAAGTTTGTTCTGATTCATGTTAATAACATAGTAACCATTATTTCCTTTTCATTACCACATACTTCTCTTCACATTATTATTCATGTATTTCATAATTTCTTTTATATTGGGTTTTTATCATCATAATTATTATTTTTGTTTTTTTTTTCTCATTAGTTATAAATTTATTTAAAAAATTTCGAAGATATGTTATACATCTAAAAATTTTTGTTTATATTATATAGACTATTTATTTTAAACTTACAATTATTGATTTAATTTTATACTTTTTCTGTCACTAAATTGTTCACATTATTAATTTGTAGTTTTGTTTTCTTAATTTAATTATTATTATTATTTTACTTAGCATTGTTTTAAAATCAACAAAATCGTGATTGATTAATTAATTAATGAAAAACAAAACTTTTTTGTTTACAAATATCAAATCAAAGGAAGAATAGGAGGACGATTCCTTATTGCATTTCATTTACATTCAATTTAATTTAATATCTCAAAAAAAAAAACTAAAACAAATTTCAAAATACTATGTATATAAAAATTGTTTTACATTTATGTATGCATAATGTATTACATATTATAATTAGTTGTAGGTAATATAAAACAATAGTATTGAAAAAAAAAACATCTCTTACAATAGCTGAGATATAGTTAAAAACATAGTTTGTTTAACTGTGAAGACGTCATCGCTGTAATTCACTTGCTCGTCGTCGGTGGCCTCGTAGATTGCCGCCACATTGCAGAGGAGAATGGGGAAGGAATTTTATTTGATTTGTGTATTGGGTATGTAGCGAACTTTCACTTGATTGCCCAGCAACAGCTGCTGTTGTTGATCCAATTGTTGCTGCTGCTGTTGTTCCAATTGCTGTTGAGCATGTTGTTGTTGCTGCTGCTGAGCTGCTTGCTGGGCGGCTTGTTGTGCTGCCTGTTGCGCCTGCTGTTGAACTTGTTGCAGTAGTTGTTGCTGAGCTTGCTGTTGGGCCTGTTGTTGCTGTTGCAGGTGCTGATTGATCTGTTGGGGTATTGACAAACCACTGACATTGCTCAAAACACTTTGATTATAAGGCAGAACATCATTTATATCGACTTTGATCAACGATGGTATATTCAATGCATTGGCCTTTGATTTATTTTTGGGAGGGCGACCACCTACGTGAGAAACAAAACGGGTACAATTGAACAGAGTGGGGGGAGAGAGAGACAAAGAGAAATATGTGAGTCGAAAAATTGGGGGCCACAGGGTAAAAATTGTAATTTTGTTATAGTTTTGTAAATGAATTTCGAAATCATCAATTAAAGTGAAGAATCCATGGAAGGGACTTGGGTAAGGGGAATGGCATTTGTTGGCAAAATATTTGTTGGGGGAAAACGTGGAAGGGATGTGGAGCAAAATAATAAGAAAAAATCAAAAATATTAATAAGTTATGAATTGCAGCTCATGAAAAAATAAAAAAAGAACCAAAAAATAAATATTTAAAGGAATTAAAAAAAGTTAATTTGTTTTTTTTAAAGAAAATACTTTAATTAGTATTAGAATTATTAGATTTAAAAATATATGTTATTAACATAATTTAAAATTATTTATATGTTTGTTTTTAAAATTAAGAGAAAAAAAGTTTGTCTCGTATACATTTTGAACATTTCCATTTGAAAATCTTAAAAAATAATTCATAAAGCCATAGAGTAAAATTAGACAAAAATAATAATTAAAAAATATATAGTTGTATGTAATATAAATTGTTAGTATTTAGAAACCATTGCTAATGTATATATATATATATATATATTTAAAGAAATTAAAATTTTCAAAATAAAAAAGGCCACTTGAAAAAAATTATAAAAAAAAGCTTTTTTTAAATAAATCTTATATGATAAAAGAAATGAGGTATATCAGAGGTTACAAAAAAAGATGTGGGTCCCACAAAAAAAAAGATTAGAGATTTTTGAAGTCATATTTTAGACAAAATTTTAATGTTTTTTAAATATCGAGTTGATCGAAAAATTAAATATGTTATGGATGTCGTCCTGCGGACCAAAACTGTGTTACTGTATCATATTTTATAGAATATATTTAGACGGAAATTTAAAAACTCATACAATTTTGTATGCAATTTGTCATGATTGTTAATCATATTTTATAGACAATTTTAAAAACTCCTAAAATTCTGTATGAAATTTGTCATGTTTGCTAATCAGCTGTATTGTTTTATTTCCTTCAAAATAACTGACTCAATTGTGAATTTGAATTGATATTTGGGTATTTCATTTGTGTAGTTTTCTCTATTAATTTGTGTAAGCATGTAATTTGACCGATGTAGAGGGAAAATATTGATAATTGTCAAATCCAATATGGATTTGACAACTGAAATCAACTGACGACGTACTTCGCTGTAAATGGTACAATTATTGAGTCGGTTTTATCTTGTAAGAATTCTTCAATTTGTTTCCAGTCCTCATGTCCCATCCAAAATATAGAAAAAAGCGCATCCTAAAATAACGTTACTAAAATGTATGCTTCAAAACGATTCCACTTCAATCTATACTGTGGCTATGGATCGGTAAAGAACCATACGCAAAATTCTCTAACAAGTGGTCCGTGGTATTCTTGTTAACGCCAAAAGAATAAACATATATGCTATTTAGTAAACAACTTCTTCATTCAGGGACGTACATTTTGGATTTCTGGATATATTAGATATGGAATATATTAGGATTTCTTGAGTTAAAGTTCATCAAAGCTGAACCTGAAATTAAATACTGAACATAAATGACTGAAAAGATTAAAATAACCTATAACCGAATATCAATTTTTGAAGTATTTCAAATGTTTGAAAACAAACTTAGGAAGTATTTTTTATTTCCATATTACAAAAGAATTTTTAAGAGGAGTTTTATAATTGAGTTCTTGCCATTTAAACGTCGCACATATAACTTTTTATTTTTATCTGTAGTTATACTGCATACGACATCATATCGAAAAATATGTAGAAGTCATTCCAGAGGTCAATATAGAAGTTATTCTAATTGGAAAGAGAATGACATTACAATTCAAGCTTTAACTCATTTAGCGACACCGCCCTTTTAAAAGAACTCCAGAAATGTCAAAACCGCGGTTCAAAAATTACCTTATTTCCACAAATTTCGATTGCCTCGTATTTAATGGTTGTATAATCTTCTATACATCCTCAGTTTTAAAGTAAAACTTAATTTTATTTCAAAAGTTTAAACTAATAATAAAATATTTAGGCATTGAAATGAAATATTAAAAATTGAAATGAAAATCACTGGCGTTATCTGGGTTTAAGAAACTCCTAAGGACGCCCTGGCTATAGAAACTTAATTAAAATTAAAGCGCATTTAGAATAACTCCTAAAAGTTAGAAGATATTTGAAATATTTAGAATGGCTTTTGAGGGACTTTTAAAAACTGGAAGAGTTAGAACTCCAACAATTTAAACCTCACTGTTGAAAATTGCGTTTTTTCCACAAATTTCTATAAAATTTCGTATTTAATGTTTGTATCATCTGCAATACACCCTTAGTTTTAAAGTAAAACTTAATTTTATTAAAAAAAATCTAAACTAATAATAAAATATTTAGGCTTTCAAATTAAATATTAAACATTGAAATAAAAATCTGCGGCGTTATCTGGGTTATATAAACTCCAAATTACTTCTAGAATTGCAGCGCATTTAGAATGACTTCTAAAGCTAGAAGATATTTTGAATATCTAAAATACCTTTTGAGGGACTTCTAAAAACAGGAAGAGTCTTGATATCCATAGATGGCATTCCAAACATTTACAAGAGATTTCATACTTTAGGGAACATCTAAACATGAGATATATTATTAACCATCTATAGAAGACCATCCAAAGGGGTAAATAGAAAATTCTTGCAAATGGAAAAAGCAATGGTTTATTTTCTTTATTTATAGGAACTCCAAAAGAGCTAATAGCTATGGAAACTTCTCGAAATAAAGCACTTTTAAATAATTTCTAAAGTAAAAAAAAATAATATATAGAATATCTTTTAATGGAAACAGGAAGAGTCTTGATGTCATGATGTATTTAGGTTTTGGAAAACCTTAAACTGGCTCATGATGAGAAATACATCAAAATTCTTTTTTAAAATTTAATATTCCGAGGCTTTTAGAACAAATTCTAATTTTGAAAAATAAATAAAAAATTTTTATACATCATAAGTCAAAATACCTTCCAACTTCTTTAGAGAGGAACTTTAAAATGTTAGGCAATATGAAGACTGCGAAAGTGCGGACTTTTATCCACCTATAGAAGAAGTTCAATGGGTAGTATATGCTGAAATCCTGCAATATATCTTATAATAGAAGTGATTAAGATATACGTTATTTATTCAATTTTTAGAAATAAAAAATTTTATGTGCCGAGAAAGGTTGAAATGCGATGAGAGTTTGATCGCTTCAATTCTGTAAATGTTGAGGGGAATAAAATTAGCTTCTTTCACCTACAAACTGAAAATTAGAATTGTCTAATGTATAACAGGGCATAAGCAGAAGACCCTTTGACATTTGATAAAAGCTTCCAATACTTCTGCGGATAGAATACTTATTGAAGTAGTTCTATTGACGGTCGAAGATATTCCATAAACGGCAAAGTATCTTGCTATATGTAGGCTAATCACTGAACATGTCCATTACATTAAATAGCCTAGTTCCTAAGAAATATAACGATTTTCCTAATTAAGAAAATGTCTAAAATTCATAAAAAAAAGTCTACTATAAAAAATATTTTCCACATTCCCCTTATTTGTATACTATTTAGCAGCATATATATGAATACATATTTTTAAATGTAATTAGAAAAAATTTCAAAATTTATTCTATAAATTTTATACACATTTCATTGTATAAATTATATTATTTATACACTTAATATTTATAATTTTAAAATTTTCATTAAAACTTGCTTGGTCATTAAATCATCACTCTATCCATTTTTGTTTCGCCAATTACACTAATTTGTGTAAAAAATAAAAATTAAATAAAAATTTATAGGAAAAAAATTACAATAAACATGGACAGAACTAAACAAAAGGAGTTTATGTATGATAGATGATGAAAATGATGTTGGAAGGAGATGGTTTACAATTTTCCATTGGCTAAAAAAAATACAAACAATGAAATCAAATAATAAGACTTTCAAAAATCTCTATCTTAATGTTAGAATTTGTTGCATTTTAGAGTATGATGATGTTATGGATAAATTTCGTGTTGTTGTTAATATAGAAAAGAAATTAATATTTTTGTAAATTCAAGAAATTAAAAAAATAGGTAAATGGGGGGTGGGGGCATATCATGTTTACAAAGTGGGAATTTTATCCCTGGGGTTGGGTGGGGAAATTGAATTATTATTTTCTTGTTTTCTTAAAGGATAGAGGTGTTTTTCTGTTTTTATTTTAGTTTGTTTTTCTGTGTTTGTTTTTTCTTAAGAATCATCATCTTCGTCTTTTATAAACATACGTTGGGGAGCGTGTTGCAGCGACAATGGTTGGCCCACCATGGCCAAGGGTTGCTGAGGCGGTTGTAGTGTTATACATTTCTTGGATCGTTTTGGAGGCGGTAATTCTGTGTGTGAATGACTATTTAACAAATGTTTCGAGAGATGTTGGCGAACAGCAAAGGCCTCATTACAACTGGCCACAGGGCAAGTGAGGTACCTATTTGGGAGAGGAAGAAAGAAAATGTGTTACTTTTGATTTCTTTTTGTTATAAAACTTACGATATATTATGAAAATTGTATACATAAACACCATATGGTGGTATATTGCATAATTTAGAATTGGAAAATGAAATTAATTTGATTTTGCTGGGGATAAGAGATTATGTCTACATACAATTTAACCATTTGTGGGGGAGGTACCAGAAGGAATGGCCCAATGGGTCTCATATTCGGTGTTGATATAGGCTTGGTAAAGATAATAGGTTGTACAAAGTTTGGTTCGTTCGCCAGATATTGGATTTATATATATATATATATATATATTGGCAATTTTGACCAGAAGGACGGGGCCAATGGGTCCCATCTTCGGGCTTGATCTAGGCTTGATAAAGATTATAGATTGAACAAAGTTTGGTTCAAATCAGATAGTCCGTTCGCAATTTTGGCCATATATAGGGTAGGTACCAGAAGGAAAGGACCAATGGGTCCCATCTTCAAACTTGATCTAGGCTTGGTAAAGATCATAGTTTGTACAAATTTGGTTCAAATCAGATAGTCCGTTTCCCAGATATTGAATTTATAAATATTGCAATTTTTGACCATTTGTGGGGGAGGTATCAGATAGAGGTGACCAATGGGTCCCATCTTCGGACTTGATCAAGGATTGGTAAAGATAATAGGTTGTACAAAGTTTGGTTTAAATCAGATTGTCCGTTCGCCAGATATTGGATTTATATATTGGCAATTTTGACCAGTTGTAGGAGAGGTACCAGAAGGAGTGGGCCATCTTCGGTCTTGATGTAAGCTTGGTAAAAATAATTGGTTATACAAAGTTTGGTTCAAATCAGATAGTCCGTTTGCCAGATATTGGATTTATAAATTTTCAAAATTTGTAACCTTTGTGGGGGAGCTACTAGAGGGAGTGGTCCGATAAGTCCCATCTCCCAACAATATACAGGCATGATTAAAATATTAGGTTATGCAAAGTTTGGTTTGAATTTGATGATCTGGTTGTAATGATATTATGAAATGCATTTGCAGCAAAATTGTGACCATTTTGTTGGGGAGGTACCAGAAGGAGTGGACCGATTTTCCCCATCTTCAAACTTAATTTGAGTTTGAAAGAAATCTTACGATTTGCACAGCTTGGATCAAATCGGACCTTCCATTAGCCATAATATTGCATTTATAAATATTGAAAATGTTGACCCTTTGAAAGGAAAGGTACCACAAGGAGGTGGCCAATGAGTCCCATCTTCGGACTTGAACTAGTCTTGGTGTAGATAATAGGTGGTGCAATGTTTAGTTTAAAACGGATTGCATGATACTATAAAATTAAATTTTGACAAAATGTTGACCACTTGGTGGGGAAGGTACCAGAAGGAGTGGACCGATATTCCCCATCTTCCCACATAAACTAAATTTGGAAAAGATTACCATGTGCAATGTTTGGATGAAATCGGTTACTCCCTTCGAGAGATATCGTGAGCACTAGCCAGTCAGACAGACTGACAGACGGACGGACATTTGTAAATCGACTCCTAATTGTCTGAAACGGATTTGGTCCAAAGAAACATGGGGCCTAAAATACCAATATTTGGATAAGGCGCAGTTTTGCCGTAGCAAAATGTTTATACCCTCATTATCCATATGGATGGGGACATCATTAAAGCCTTTCTTTGCCAGCCTCCAGCAAAATCAAATAATTTCTCTGTGTGAAGTTTTCATTTCGATTCGAACGATAAATCGAAAATTGTCACATTCTAAACTCTTTTTTTTTTCATCTAACTCTAAAAGCATTTTTGGTTCTTTAGCCAGCACCTGCCCTCTAAATGACGTTGTTCATGCTTCTTCAGCAGTGATTCCTGATTAAACGAACTCGGACATATATTGCATTTATATTTGAATTCTTCGTGCATCTTCAGGTGGGTCTCCAAATGGGTCTGTTGCAAGAATTTCTCATCGCATTTCGTACACTCGAATGGATATTGCAGGCCATGGGTTTTCATGTGCGTGTGCAGTTGTGATTGCTGTTTGAATGTTTTCTCCGGACAACGGGGACAATAGTAGCCGGTGATGCCCGCATGCGCTTGCAAATGTTGATTTAGAGAGGTGACCTGGGTGAATTTCTTCGGACATTGATTGCAACAATATTGCTGGACTTTGTGGTGGGTTTTCATGTGATTGTTGAGATTAGTGACCTGGGCAAAGGAGCGTCCACACTCCGGTTCAATGCATACAAAAGGTCTTTCGCCCGTGTGCAAGCGCCGGTGATTGTTGAGGTTGGTAATCTATGGAAAATAAAAAGGAAAAATAAATTATAATAGAATTTTGAACAATATACAATTCTACAACTTGACTCACCTGTGTAAATGTTTTGCCACAATCCACACACACATAGGGCCGATCATTGGTGTGAATGCGTTCATGGTTCCGTAAATTGGCCGCTTGCGTAAAACCTAAATTTGCAATTCAACCAATTACATACCAATATGGTTGGTAGGAATTTCCAAATAGGAATTGTTAAGAAAACATGAGGATTTTATTTAGTATTTGAATTGATTTAATGTTTTTTTTTTAATTCTTTCACATGGTTCACGATTTACCTTTATTACAATAATTACAAACAAATTTCCTTTCGGCCGCATGATTGCGTATGTGTGTTATCAACGAAGACTTCCTTGAAAATGTCTTATTACACAACGGGCACGAGCCTTCTTCGTTAAATATTAGGTCCACCTAAAGAATAAAATTTTGCGTAAGATTTAGGATAGAAGGAAAAGATAGTAGCAGGTGTGTGTGTATGTGATATGTATGTGTGTGGGTGTATAAGAGTGTAAATGTTTGTGTCTATGTATTTTTATTAGCTAGTATTTTCTTTTCTAGAGATGTATGGATGTGTGTGAGTGTGAAAAATTACAGCAATAGATTAAGAAGGATTCTTTTTGTGTGATAAGGATATTTCATTTTGTCATTCTGTTCTTTTTACGCGCATTTGTACGATTGCGAATTTCTCATTGATTTATAGATAACGTTTGAATTGTGGGTTTCTTAAGACTTATAGAATTACATTTTGGTATTTTTAAAAACTATTACAGAAACAATATATTGCCATGCAAAATTGAAATGTAAGCTTATAAGCTTTTACAATATTTTAAAATTAGTTTTTGTTTTTTTTTTTAATTTTTCAATATGTTTATACTTTAATTTTAGTCATTCGAATATTATATATAGTTAGTTTTTTGTTTAAATTTACATTTTTAAAATGTATATTCCAGTCAATTTAAACGTCAATGCGGCATATTTAAGACATTATTATTAAATTTATTATAAACTAGTCACAATTATTGGTACATCATCATTAAATATGCATTGCTTTAATATATAGGCAGTTCGTGAATAGAGGGAACACCAGTTTCGAATTTGCAAGGAACAAATCATTGTAATGTTGCCTTCATTCGCCATGCCAGGAGAAATACTTACAAAATACTACTTAAATCTACATTGTATCATATACTTTGCGGGAGACTAGCAATATATAGATGATTGTGATCATCATTCTTATTTCTTTAATATTTTTTTGAAAAATTTAAAGAAATGTCTTCTTTCCTACTGTTTATGAAGTTCATTTCAAAAATATGATCTGAAATTAATTTATAAAATCTCTCATATTCTATTTGCAAAATACTTTAAGAACATATTTATATTTTGAAAGTCTACGGTTTACTGTCACCCTCAAAAAAATAATTGAAATCTAACTCAAAAATATATTTTATCTTTAAAATTATTCATAACATTTTCTGTTATAACATTGCATGTCTCATATTTACTGCAGCCATCAAAATATATCATATAGTAAAAGAAGATGGACTAAAATGTTTGAAAACCAAATATAATTCCTGAATTTTAAATTTTAACATATCCTCTTTTTTAAATACTGCATTTTATCTATTAATTTCAAACTTTTATTATAAGATTGTTTTAATTTTCTAAAACTAAAGCTCAAATTTGTCATGTTTGCATTATTATTCTATGATTTTCTTTATCCCTATTTAATTTAAATTCAGTAAATTATTTTCCCTTCAAAAACACAATTGCAGATTTATACTGAAGCCCTGCATTAAGTAAACCCAGATATGCCGAGTGTACTACATATAGTACGGCTGTTATGTCAAAAATTCTATATTTACTGTTTGTTACATTTCTAATTAGTTCTGCAGGCCATACCACTATGTTGATCGTTATGTTCAGTAGATCCCTAGCATTCAGATTATAAAATTTAAGTGCAATAAACACAGTAACTTAAAAATAACAAGTGTACAGAATTTTCTATCCTCAGCATGTCTGAGTTATTAAAAAATATACAAATTTCTTTAGACCTTACAACATAGCAATGAACTTAAATAATGTTTTTACAATTTTTTATATTATTATTATTATTATTGATGTTCCTATTTAGTACACCATGGAACAAGGGACCCTACTAAATGCGCAATTTTGATAAAACAATGCGCAGGAACTGAAATAGCTTATACCAATATTTATAGAAATGAAGCCGACGGGAATTCGTGTCAATAAAAGTATTCAGTATTTTTTTAATTATTTAAGAAAAGCAAATTTGATATAAGGTTTGAATAAAAATAGAATGCAGAACTGAAATTGTTTAAAATGCTGTGCTATATTCTGAGTCATTGAAATATATAATAATACAAAATGAAGCTATTGGTGGATTGACACTGTCAATCAACATGATTCCAAAGTCATCGAGATCATTTAAAGGGATTTTGAAAATTCATAATGCCATCCCGCTTCAATCGAGGAATGCTATCTCTACCCCCTCTCTCGACAAGTCTAATTATACCCACACAACTATGTTGTAAGGGTATTATTGGCCCTAGACACACCTCTTAGTATACTGATTGTTATATTTCGACTAGCTGAGTCGATATAGACTTGTGTGTCCGTCTGTGCATTACAATTTGTAAACAGGGCACAGTTCACTATTATGGGTCAATCGCCACGAGTTCTGGCCCAAGAAAATCCCTATTTTTGGTAATGATGTGATAATATGTATGGGATGAAATGGACCAAAAACTTTATTTTTGTCTATTTTTCTGTTTGCTCTAAAGGCTACAATTATGACCCGAAAAAACAGTTCTGATAAAGATTAAACATTTCTGTGAAAAATTACATTATATGTATTATATTTGCTCCTGAAGGACATATACCCGAGAAGTAGATATTATAACCAAGAAAAGTGGTTGACCTTTAAGTAGATACTAATAATATTGGCGTATGTACTAGGAAGTGGGACTTAAGGGAACCCCAATTGTATTGTTGTTGTAGCAGCCCTATTGCTTTTACACAATGGGCTGAGGTGACAGACGTTGGCCGTGTAAGACTCGGGTCGTTTCGGATCGTTGACCCCTTTATCGTGGAAACGAACAATTGTATTGCAATTGTTCTTGTTTTACTGCTTGAAAACAAGATTTGGGGAAATGCCGCAGAGGATCTACTGACCTCTAATCGGCCAATAAAGAGTAAGTATGGCGAAATATCACCCAAAAAGAAACCCCTCATTATGCCTCAATCACTATATTCCATCTTACAGGACCGCTGACTTTACTACGATTGAGAAGATAAAATTATTGCAGTTTCACAACGGCATAATGGAAATTGGAAGATTATGTCTTGGAGCATTATTGTACAAACGTGTATATTATTCCTGGTCGTATTTCCGTCAATGGTTAACAATTGTACCTATTTGTTGCATAGAGTAAATAGGAACAGAACTTATTCTAATTATAAAATAGTTATTGGTTTACATTATTAATATTTAACATAATAAATTATAACAATATCGGCATAATGCAAAATTTAACGATATATATAACTTTGAAAAGCTTATAAAATATAGACTAATATAATTCCTTAAGCTAAAAATCATATAGTTTTTTATAGGTTGTTATGAAATTTGATTAGATATTATTGATACAGTCGAAATAATATTAAATGACACCTTTTCTAACGACATATCGGTTGTAACGACTTATGTAAAAGTCCCGAAAAAAGTTTGGCCTTTTATTTGATATCGTTTACAGCGACCAAATTTGCCGATATAAGCGATAGCGACTGTATATAAATTGAACCTAATTATAGCTGGAAATCAATATTTAAAAAAAATATATACGGGATATGCATTAAGTAAGAATGGGCGTCCCCAAATACTGGCATTTTTTGTGATACATGGATCCATTTTTGTGATAAATTGATAGTTTTTTTCCAAACCAATTCTTATTCTGATCACCAATCAAATTTCATAATAACAATACAGGTATATACAACAAATATCATTGTCAATATACGATAAATCATAATAAGTAGAAATTTAAGAATTTTTATATAAATATTTTCTACAAGATTTTTTAAAAATAGTAAATGTTTTTTTTAGTTACAATGAGGTATATTTTCATAGCAATACTGGTAAATTGTATAATGTAAATTTGATTGTCTATTTATAAATTATATCATTTATTTATCTAGTCTGTTAACAAAAATATGTAACTTTTATAATTCTTTTTTGGTCGAAATATATAACTTTTTTATAATTTTGAAACATAACAAATATTTCTAACAGATATTATACAGAATCTTTTCTTTTTCTTCAATATATTTAAAAAATTTGATTTATTTTGATTTTATACAAATTTCGAAGAAGTATTAAAATTTTGATTTACATTTTGAAATATTTTACCTTTGTTTCCAATATTTCAGTACGTAATCATGTTCAATGTTTACATTTTTTATGAAACATTTTGTTGTTTTCTTCTCCAAAAAGGTTAAATGATTAGTTCGGTATGTGTTAATAAATAATTGTTATCGTTAATAAAATGTTAATTTTTTTGTTTGGTTATGTTAGAGGTATTATTACTGTTTGTGTTAAGTGTTAAAATATGTTATACTAAATAGATATATATTTGTTTAAATATAATGTTAATAAATTTCAAAAGCAATATTATTTTCAATTGGAGCCAACACTCCAACAATTTACCATAATCCATGTTTTTTTTTTAAATACTCATCATTTGGGGTTAGAAAATAAATTTTTAAAAAACTAGTTTATACAGTACTTTTTCATTAGAGATCTCTAAATAGATGGAAGAAGATGATATAAAAGGATTTTGCGACATTGTACCAAGAGCCTGGGGACCGCACTGTGTCCTTGCCAAAGCAAACTTATTCTAAATGCTTTCCTTTCAAATTGCTGGCCTATATATGCACATTACAAAGATAAGAGGACATAAAAAGAGAGGAAGAGAGAGGAGAAAATAGAAAAAAAAACATTTTTTAATTGAAAACGATTTTGACATTAAACAATAATTTATAATTTAATTACATTCTATATCCCTCTATATCTTGTATACAGTACGTTTTTCTTTAGAATTCGGTAGTGCTGATTCTCTTGTTGATGCTGATAAAATTTTCTGAAATTGAAATTGAAAAAGATTTCTATTTCTGAAAATAAAAAAAGAAGAGCAAACAAAATAGTAATTACTGGATAAAAATTCCCTTAACCATGGAAATTACAACGCTACGTACCTGGAGCTCCACATAACCTTCATCCGGCTTGTAATAGGTGTTGGGGGACGATTCGTTGTTGTTATAGAGGGGATATATATTACTGCCAGTGTCCAGCTAGCCAGTCAGCCAACTCAATATTCCTTGGATCCAAATCGAGG